GCAGGAATAAGGAAAAGAACACACGGAAAATGTATTGGTCCTGGGATTTAATTTACATTTCAGGGTCCCAAAAGAAAGGTGAAATTAATGGGTTAAATAAGGAACTCTAATGGCATTATGTAATAAATCATGGAGTTTGACACTTCTGGGAAGCCTGTAGTCCTGTAGTTCTCTTGGTCTGTATGAATTCAAGGCTGTGAAATTAAAGCTGTGTACCTATCATGGTGGGAAGGGATCACAGCATGAAGTCTGTTGCTGTTCCCACTGCACAAGCAAAATATATGTATAGGTTTACAAGCTATAGTTTAGTTTTCTAGGGTTTTCTTCAGAATCAGTTTTCTTATCTAGTTGTATAAAGATAGTTAACAATGAAATTATTTGTATCACTTGCTAAGTATTTCCATAGATGTTGTATTAACCTTTATGGACCAACACGTACTATGTCATTCCTACATTTCAGTTGGCAGATAATGTTTGGTTATAGCTCAGGTTTTGGCACTTAGTCACAGCTTTGAGTCTTCCCTGCAGGTCACAGCTGTCTCCTTAGGGTATTAACAGTAGTGGTATGACTCTGAAGAAGTCAGCAGTTACCCAAGAGGCTACAGGAATGAGAACATGAATTCCAGAGATAACAGTGCTTTATGAGTTCAGGAAACATGTAGACACTGGGTGCAGTTTAATTTGCAGTCATAACAGTGAATTCTTCCCGTTTCCAACCAATAGTGTCACTCCAGTAAACTCACACGTGGTTGCATGTGCTGACACAGTATATTCAGATGCCTCTAATGACCAGCTGAAGGTGCTGTTACCTGGAGATGTTTTCTCCTGCTCTTCTGCTTAGCAGTGCTGCTTGTAGGGCAAGGTCCTGCAGGATTTAAAACAAAATGCTAAATTGTGCATTGGTTTTGAGAATTGGTCTACAGAATGTGTGACAATTATGCCCTTGCTACATGATTACACTTGATGGTTCAGAAGCACATATAAGTGGTATTACATTTTATTAGATTCCACTGGTTTTTGGAAGGAACCAACCGGTTGGTTCCCTGTATATAAGAATCCTTGGCATTTTTCTGGGAATGACAGTCTAATTGTCTCAGTTATCAACCTGCTGAGATGCAGAGAAGCAAAGTAAGTATCAGTTAGAGAAGCTCTAACTTACTTGGAAACTATCAGCGTTTGTTTACTGACCCTCAAACTCATTCTTCTGTCTGTGTCCCAGCCCTGTAATTCATAGCTGGTGCTACTCCAGTGTTTACCTAGAGCATGCACTCTTTTTGAGGTAAGGAGTGGATGGCAGATTCTTCCATTTGCTTCCTCTGCTCTCCTGGACACAACATGGTGGGGAGGAGGCATCCTGCTTTGTCATCCTGTAACAGCTTCTTCGGTGTATTTGTGTTTGAATCATCCAGTATTTCTTGTATGAAAAGAAGATACATGGTAGTGATTCTACAGCGATAAAATATGTTTTGTGTACCATTGTCAAAGTAAGGAACTGGACAATATGTTTGTAAAACACCTCACAGATTAAATCCAGGGCAAATGTCGTATCCCTGTGCAAGCTTTCTTTAAGTCCAGACTGTTTTGCTTGTGTCTGCCCTCCATCAAGATTTCCACCTGCTAGGGAATCTTTAAAACCTGGCAGCATCTCAAGAGGGGATTTATCTTAAGACTGTTGAAGACATGTTCTGGACGTATGTATTCCTCTTAGCTCATGAAACCAGGATAGGAACAGTTTTACATTTGTGCACAGTGGTTAGCAGAACGGGGCTGCCGTTTTGCCCAGACAGTTTTGTCACTAGAATGCACAAAATAAGATTTGCAGGAATAAGGAAAATCACATGTTAGAGGAGAACATGGAAAATGTATTGGTCCTGGGATTTGATTTACATTTCAGGGTCCCAAAAGAAAGGTGAAATTAATGGGTTAAATAAGGAATGTTTCTATTTTAGGAAGCCATCAGCATGTAGATGGTATTTGACCACATACTACTCAGAGAATCATGGCTTTCCTTTTCTTCCTTGTCCTAGAAACAGCACGTGTAATTCTTCAACCTTTGATGAATCAGAAGAGTGGCAAGTTGCTCAAGATGCTGAGATATGCTTGTTGAAGTCAGGAGAAATCATGTAAGCAGAACAGTTTCATTACTAGCAGGCTGAAAGAATAAAGGCTGAGCTCAGATATCAGCTATGTGAGCACAAGTCTTGCAGACTCCTGGAAGAGCTGATCGCTTGTGTCCCACATAGAATTTGGTCTGAGGAAGAGCAGAGAGTATAGCTGAACTATGCAGAGCAGCAGCAAAAAGCCAGGTCCTCTCTCTTCAGTCCTGCAAAACTTTAGTGCAAGTGGGGAATAAGAAGGAAAGATTTGCGTCCACATCACATCAGAAAACCTTCCTTCCTATTCTTATTGCAGGAGGTGCTGTGAATAGGAATGGGGCTTAGAGAGAAGTCTAGTTCTAGTATTCTCTAGAAGAATGGCAAGGGAAAGTCAGAGTGCTGTGCTAGTCAGACCTTTGTCAGAGCGAGGGAATTCATGGCCTTTTGGAGCATATATCTAGTATTTATTGGTGGCCTCACAGAAACTGTCTTGCCTGCTCTGGTTGATATATGCCATAGCATAAAATGTTCAGCTGAGCCTCTGCTTGACCTCTGTGACCCGTGTGTGCACAATTCTCTACACGTATCCTGCTCTGAAATTAATATGTACATGCGGTAGTAATACAGCATGTCACTTGCACAGCCAAGAAAGGAATCTAACATATGAAAATGCCCGTGACTTGGAGAAATTCCCCTTTGCCCGCTCTCCCCTTAAGCCTAGCTTTGAAATTTTGGCTTAGTTATGGGGAAGGTTTTAAACTTTTGAATGCAGGAAGATGAAACATTAGTCCATGTTTCAACCTTGTTGCTGCTGTTCAGAGAACCAGGTAAATGAAGCAGTACCTAAAATCATAGCTGGGCTGTAGGGCAAAACCAAGAGTGATCATTAGTTTGTTAAAATCAAAGATCACCTGAGACACCCCCAGCAGTTACTTCAGCTAAGAGGAAAAAGTAACAAGGTAAGCAAACTTAATATAAAGCTTCCTCTCTGGCCAGAGTACAACAGTTATCGTAATAACTCAGCTGTGATCCCTAACCACTGCGTAGTCATGGTTGGAAACTGAACTCCTCCTTACTCTAGAACAGCAAATCATCATGGTGACTGTGTGGTATCTTCTGGTAAATGGGTTGATTCTTGATAGCTGCTGACAAACAAATCACAGTACGGTGATTTACTGTGAGCTCATTGATTTGGAAACAATTTATTTGGCCTAAAGAGTGACTGGATCTCTTCAAGTAATTGTATTTTTCTCCCTCACAGGATCAAATTACCCCTTACAGTGGAAGAGATTTTAAATTTTGGGGAAAGCAACAGAGAGCTGTTCATTAAATCCAGCACCTACAGTATCATTCCCATCACCGTTACAGAGATGGGGCTAACAATTAGCTGGATCTTTTCATCAGACCCTAAAAGCATATCCTTCAGCGTTGTCTACCAAGAATCAGAAGACACACCACTGGATCAGTGCAAAGTAAGGCCTTTGTTTCCTTACTATCTTAGAGATTGTAGCACACTGCAATCAGCCATCTAGAGGAATCAGCTAGTATAGCTAGGAGGTCTCCACAGGAGTGCCAATTGCTATTGCATTAAGGACTTGTTTCTCCAATTAAGCTATAGTTCTGCTGAAGGCAGAGCTACATCTTTAATTATTTAATGTTGCCTAAAAAAGCTGAGTTGAAAAGCGCTGTAGCTTCTATTGGTTGCATCTGAAATTCATCCACTATTATTAAGCAAAAATAAAAGTCCAAGCTTGCAAAATTCTTCTTTTTTCCCTCTTCAATATTGCTTAATTTGTAAGTTGCTTAGGGCTGATCTTGCCAGGCTCTTAAGCAGAGGCCACAAGGAGACAGATGAATTGATTGGGTTACCTGCATTTCTTATAGTGAAGCATATATTTAAGTGCCTTGATGGTGTGCAAAATCACTTTGCCAGTGCCCAAGGTACCAGTTTTTATATGTGCTGTCCATATTTCATGAGGATTGTGGATTAAGTAAATCTATGTTACTCAGCTAATTGCAAAGTTTTAATGAAGAAAAGGCAGCTGTTGATTTAACCCACCATGGTAGGGGGAACTCTAAGGCTGTGATTTCACTGGGGGAATAAGATGTTTATATAGCATGCATTAATTTACTCCACAGTTACTAACTCCGTGTAAAAATCTCTTTTTTTCTTAATCTGAAAGCTGAATGAAGAGTGAATGTTGCTTCTGTCTTGATATATCTATTTGATATAACTTCGGGTTTTATAGGGTCGTCCTTGATCTATGTCAGCTGCTGTTCTGACAACTGTCTCTGCTAGGGTTTTATAGCAAGATGGATGGTTACACATGCTTAGATAAACAACTAAGATTTGCTGAGAAAGCTTATTTTATAATACAAGGAGTATAAAAGCATATATTAAAATACATATTTAGCTAAATCCTGCTCTTGGATATATTTGTATAGATTTAATGTAGCACTGCTGATATTAGTAAACTTGCTTAGATTAACATTAAAAAGTTCAGGATTTTATTCTATTTCTAAAGCAGAGATTTATAGCCATAGCTTAATGCTGTAAAGAGGTTATCAAAGGAAAACAGATGTCTCACTGTGAAACTTTAGTTTGGGTGAATTTTTAATGCTAATCAGTGAAAATAAATAGTTTTTCAGGCACATATGCACTTTGGGAGTTTCAAGATGGCTCAAGTCTAAATATTTTTCTGAAGGAAATGACAATTTGTAGGGCAAATAGCAAGTTTCATTTTGATTTGTATTGAATTCCAGGTTCTTATTCCTATGACCCGCTGCAACTCTCATAAGGAAACTATCAGAGGACAGGTTAAAGTCAGAAACTCTGGAATCTACACGCTGATATTTGACAACACCTTCTCTAGGTAGGTCCCAGCTGGGTGTACAAGGTGAAATAAGCTTGGTTTTACAGACTGTGGAACTGATCGGGTGTACCATTATTCTGCCATTCAGAAGTAAGTATGAGAAATTGGTCCCGGCTTGCCAAAAGATCTTCAGCCCGAGTTTTGGTTCTTGTTCTTGTTTGGGTTTTTTTCTCCCCCCATAGCAGCATTTCACTCTTCTGTCTCTACCTCTGGGAAGGTGAACAGAAGTAAGCGACTAATTTGTGACTCTTTCCAAGACAGCTTAGTCAGGATTGTCATCTTATTAACAACAGCCCTTGCACAGGCATACTTCTTTTTAACAACAGTCAGTTTTTTGCCTGAGTATAAACTGAAAGACTGAATACACTTTTAAGGCTTCCTGTCTAGTTGACTTCAGCTAACGTGATCATCTTGCTCTCTTTTTTTCTTTGACAGGTTTATCTCAAAAAGAGTGTTTTATCACTTGGCTGTCGAGCGACCTGTCATCTATGATGGAAGTGATTTTCCATAGCCTTGAATATACTGTGTTATTTTTAATTAAATTTTTAAGAAATGCTATTATTTATGTACACGTAAGCATTGTGATTACCACTGTGTTTGAAGACTTTGAAACTATGCAATAGTTATAATGCACTTAGAGAACATGTATACACTAAAAAACGGAAGCCTTTTTAGGAACACTAATGGTTCTGTACTGTGTACAGATTGCTGAAAAGCCATGTTGTTTGATTTAACAGGTCAATAATAACCAAATTTCTTTCAGTGGGGAGAAAAATAAGTGTGGGGGTGTCTAAATACAAATTGAAATTCTCTACTGAAAATTGAATTACTTTTCTGCCAAAAATATCCTTCAAAAGGAAATTTAAAGAAAAATGCGTATTTTTGTTGATCTCTTCACTGAGGAGTAAACATAACCATTTCTGTTCTGCTCTACTGCTCTTACAGTCAGAACAACTATGCAATACTTCAATCATCACAGACATATATCGTAATCCAGCTAGAATTTTTTATCTTTTCCAAGTTTTATAAACAGCAAACATAGGGGTTTTTTACATTTTGGGCTAAGATTTTGTAAGTCTGGCTTTTACAAATGCTTTGGTACTGAATACCAGTTACAAAACAATACAACACAAAGCAGCAACTCCTTTCACTTTTGCTCACCGTACTTTGTAAGTTGGTCCACTGAAATCAGCTCTTATGGTGAGCACCAGTGGCAGAATCAGGAGCATCATTTGTAGAATAAAACACTGCTCACTGTGTGATACTAGGAAGAGGAGCATTCCTTTTTCCTGCTTTAGCACCTTAGTCATCCGCATTCACAGGAAAGCACAGTTTCTGAGGAGGTCAGCAGTCTCTCTCTAGACCACGTGAAAGGTAGCAATAATGTTTGAATCGGTCTCAAAAAGTCCATTCGAAACCGAATGCATATCCAGCCCTGATGAGCTCTCCACCTGGTGTTAGTGCAGTCTGCCCCTTTCCTAATCCTTGCATTTGCCCTAGCCAACTGCTGACTTTCCATCTCGGATTTGGGGACAGAGCTGGCTGTAAACACTGTCTTTTAAGGAAGGCTGGGTTCTCATTTGTACAAAATTTCCATGCAAACAGTCTGCTTTCTATATAGAATTTCAACTTTTTGTCAAAATATCTGAAAGCAGATTTTTCTTTTTAAAATTCCTGTCTTCTGATGGAAAGGCAAAACATTTTGGCAGGAGAAAGGAGAAAAGCTCTTTCTCCCAACCAGCCTTCCTCATCATTTTAGGTGTGTCTGATTTCTAATGTTGTTATTCTCCCAAGGAAACCTCAGACCTGGAAGGTTTTAGCGCAGCAGTTGGTAGCAGCTCAGCCTGCCAGGAACCCTGTAGGCTCTCGGTGGCAGCTGTAGCTGGTAAACAGGGGTCATGGTGGGAGACAGAAAATAAAATATGAGGGGGAGGAAGAAAAAAGGGCAAGCTGAAGCAAATTATTTAGGGGAGGGGAAAGAAAGCCAGGGGCAAACTTGTAAATGTAAAAACAAGGACAGGGAATTGGAAGGATCAGTTCGACTAGGGAAGGAAGTCGGGAGAGTCCAGCTGGTGTTCATGTGTTGCTGGTCCAATCCCATAGGGGATCTCCTACAGCAAAAGGCTGGTTGTTTAAAAGATGGAGATCACAAGACAAGTGTTGAACATTTACATAGTAGCAGCTGAGGTAGAGGGAAGTTTCTGATTATAGGAAAGAAAAGAATACTGCAGATAAAGCTAAAGGTTGCTAATCGTTCATTCCAGTTGTTAACACTGTATAAATACAGTGATCTTGAAAAAGACTGTGAAAGAATGACTGCCCTTCATGGAGCACCTAGATTTTAGGTATCTGGCTCATCGGAAGCTTTCCCTTCCCTTCAGACCCCTCTTCCCAGTATTGGTGGTGTGCTCTCCAGCCTCTGCCAGGCAGAGGGGTCAGTGGAAGGTGCCGGCTGGTTTACTCCCCCTCCTGAGGGAACAGGCTGCAATGCAGTTAAACCCTTACCTGGCTGCGTGCGTGAAAATGAGGTGGACAAGAGACTGAAGTTGGCAATAAACAGGCAATAAACGGCGCAAGGATCAATTCATGAATTATGGCATATTTCAGTGTTGAAGCTATGTTTTATATTTAATTAGGCAAGAAGAGACTATTTATTGCTTAAAAATGGAGTACTGTGTACCATATGCTATGCAATTTCACTGAGCTGTTACTGAAGTCTGCTGCAGTTTTCCTTTAAGCTTTTAGGTGTGGTTTTTAAAAGCACTTTGCTGTTGTTTTAGTTAGAATACTAATCTTACTAGGATATCTTTCTTAAAATGCCACATGTAAAGGGACACTGTCAAGTATCTTAGGCCACAATATGACAACTCTGCTCAGAAATATTTGAAATATCTCCATTCAAAATTGACAGACTTGCCTCTGGATTTCCTCTCTGCATCCCAGTTCTTAGCATTTTTTCATCCTGTGGCAAATATTTTTAAGCCACTGTTTATGTAACTCTTAAAGTAATTGACTCCATCTAGTAAGCCAGATGTTTCCCTGCAAGTCTTTCATATAGACAGTCCTGAGGCTGGCTGAAGCATATATTTGTGAGGAGGGGAATAAAAACACTGGATTGTTTTTATTTAGCATTTGAGTCTTTATGGTACCCTTTCTTCAGGTTTTCCTGCCCCATGAGAGTAGTTTTTTGGATTTTTTGCTTTCTGAAAGAGGACTAAGAGTGGGAGCCAGAACCTGTAGTTTAAAGACAAAAAGAAAAGGTTTGCTTCTCACCGAGGAGAGTATTTAAGAAGGAGAAAAAGTTTCGGAAGAGGAAATACTCAAGCTGGTAGGGTACAACGAGTGGACAGGAGTGCAACTGTTCAAAGCAACTGTCCAAGAACAGAAATCCCATCATGTCAACAAGAGGAGGGAGTCTTTTCCACCTCAGCGGCTGTGCAGAGAAGACAGTAAAGAACCTGTCATTAGTACCGACCTTTTGTTTGAATGTCCCAGATTGTTTACTACTGGAGCCATGGAAACCCAATAAAGGACTTAGCACAAGTGTAGGTTTGTGCAAGAGATTATTTCATTCAAGCACCTTGTACCTCCGTTCATAAAGCACTTGTTCATGTGAGCTGCGCCAGGGATGCTGATGAATCTATTTATTTACAGGTGCTCAGGTGATTTGTTGAATTGGGCCTTTTATTGTCTGCAGGAATGCAACTGAGAGAAAAGAAATATTTAAAATTGATCATGAAATTAATTGAAGGGGATGTCACACTCATGGGACAAAGATAATATATGCTGCGGTCAGTATAAGCAATTGGGTGGTTTTTGTGCGTGCTGGAACAATGGAGGGTAGTATTTTTTGTTGCGCAGAGGTTTATGCAAAGGAAAGAACGTAGTCGCTTTAATAAAATGACAGTGTTCCTTTACTCAACATTAGTCAATGTTGCTTTATGAAAAATCAGAGAAATGTATTGCACGAGAGCATACCACGTTACAAAATAGCAAAGCTACAAAAGCCTGACTTTGCTACTTTTTTAAAATTGGAATTGCACTATAGTTTTAATTATGCTCAATCACTAAGATTGTAACTTGTTCAGAAGCATCTTTTGGTCTTAACTGCCAAAGAATTGCAAACCCCGTTCACATCAAACTTTATGCTCCAGATGGGGGAAAAAGAGATTTATGTATACCGGCGTCTGTACGGTTACAGAGATGTAGATGGTTGTGTACTGGAATGTTTCTTGATGCTTTTTTTTTTTCCTTTTTTAACCTCAGGAATTAAAAAAATAAAATTCTATATCATTGAGAATGTGTGTCCCTTTTCTGCCTTATAGAGATAGCTTTGTCTGGAAGGTAAATCAGATGATTGTATGATACACTTCTAAGCAGGAAAAAATTTTACAAAATAGGGAAAATAGAAAATAGTTTGTCATGCTGGTGGACAAAGGGCGTATCTGTACAGTACAACAGAGCAGCAGTGGAGATCCTTAAATAAGTACTAAGTGTGCCGGCCCCCAAGCTAGAGGAAATATCACCGTGTCCTGGTGGCTCGGAGCAGCCGGGCCTCCCCCGAGCAAGGGCACAGCCCCGTGGCTGAGAAATACCTTCATCCGCCTTTGCTTCCCCTCGGAGGTAAAAACAAAGCCGCCCCAAGGACAGCAACTGCACTCACTATCGTCCACGACACCGAGCAGCGTTGTCCTTCAGCTTAGGGTGCCCATCTGGTTTTCCCCAGGTCCTGGCCGGGTCTGTATGCCCGGGTTATGTTGCATGGCTGCGGGAGGGAGAGTCGCAGGCACTCTTCACGTGTCGCCTCTGTGTTTGCATCTGTAGTCCCAGCCCTGGGGCACATGGTAAATGCGTAGGCTCCCAATGGGGTCGGGAGGAGAGGGGGCCCTGTCACGACCAGTCATCGCTTCTTCTATCCATTATTTCTGTTCCCTCATGGGAGTTTCCTGCTGGGGTGGAGGCTGTGACACTTCCCGTCCCTGCACCCGACCAGCAGCACCAGCTCCCGCTCCAAGAAGCTCAGAGGCTTCTTGCTGGGACAGTCTCCAGCAAAGCCGAGCCCACAGTAGAAGGGACCTGTACTGTGTAAGCGACCGCACTTCGCTCTACAACAGCTCTGCAGGGGAGGCTGTAGCTGTTGAAAGCCTTTGTGTACATCTCCAATAATCCGTGTTTAGTCATACAGCACAATATCTCCTCCCTTCTTCGGTGCTAGGAGCAAGGCTCTCCCAGCCCTAGTGCTGCCTTACATGGGGTCATAACCCACCTGTTTCTTGGCCTGTGCCCCAAATATTAGCCTTCGCACACCCAGTGTGACATTTTGCTGTGGACCGTGTGAAGCTGCCATGAGACAGTGGTATCCTCTCCGTTAGCCCCTGAAATGTCACAGGGATGCTCTGAAGTCCAAATACAAGGTTTCAAAACACATATGGCCCAGGAGGCTTGGAAAAAATGGGCAGCACTTGGGGGTGCTGGGACTACAGAATCTGGTCAGTTAAATGGTGGATAATTGATCCAGATCATACTTGGAAATGGTGGGTTTGCACGTACCGAACTCAGATGGATGGTTTTGGGCTACTTTATCCACCATGACTTCAGTGATTCTTGCAGCACCCGTCGCCATTCTCTCACACCTTTCCATTGTTTTTCTGCTCTCTGGAAGAGGCGCTTCTATAAAGCATGTCTCTGTTTCAGGCAGGAGCAGGCATCAGTTAGGTGGGTTTGCCTGCAGAGAGTGAAAGTTTCTCACCGGCTCTCCCAACTTCCTCTCCTTGTACCACAGGCAGGCTGCCGCCATGCTACGTGACTGCCTGCACCACGGTCGCGGCTACCACCGAGCCCTTCACCGTAGCGAATCGACAACAACCCGAAGCTACTGCCGTGG